TTTCTACTATAAAACAGATCTCTATAAATATGTAAAGAATATGTATAACTCAGTATTTTAACAAATTGCAAAAGCTGAATAATCAATCAAAGCTACTGATTAATCAGTGAAGTAATCAATGTCGATTAATCGTTCTAATAATCGTTAGATTAATTGATTTTCAATATAATCCTTTGTTGCAGATTTAGAAAAGATGACCCACATTGTGACTAGGGGTGTGCGATATTGACCAAAAATTATATTTCAGTATTTTTTCTGGGAATTTGCTGATAACGATAATTAGAGAATATTTTGTGACATTTTAAAAGATTGATTAAATTCGCTAATTCATTTCATTAGACACCATTTTTTAAGTGTTAAGTATGTTAAATCATTAAACACAGAATCTGGAAAAACACAATGGAAAACACAATTTGGGGGGAAAATAAAATGGTTTTCATGGATCCCCTAAATTAGTAGCTTACTCTATGGAATTTAATTGTGCACAGACAGGTTATGTTTACATTCATTCTCAAGGTCTAACAAACGTGGAGAGCATTAAAGGGGCCATTAACTGCCTTTTTTATTATTTTGTACTGTTCTCTGAGGTCCACTTATAATGTTATCAAGATTTTTACATCAAAAAACATCATAATTCAGAAGTAATAGGCTATTTTCTGTCCTGTTTTGACCCCCTCATCAGAATGCTCTGTTTGAATAGGCGTGGCGGATTGTAGACTCAGAAGTAAACGCCCACTGCTATGATTGGCTAAGGCTGATGATACACGGGGCAACTTTTTGGGCAGTGTTGCCACCAACGGGCAACCAGATGAGACACAGGGCCCACGACCGATCTAAAGTATCCAGATAGACATTTGTTATCCATTCTCAATGTGAAAGTGCCCAAGCAACATTGCTAAAAAAAAGTTGTCGGGCAACTTGATGAAATGTCTGCAACATACTTTGGTTAAAATTCCTCAGTGGTCGTGTAAAACAACACCCTTTTTACCTTGTCAAAAACAGCTCTGTTCACAGTGACCCGTTTTGGTGCATGTCTCTTTAAATGATAATGAGCTACTACTCACTCACTCCATCCTTCTCTTCTGTTCTTTGTGTATTTGGTGGCACATTACCATCAAAAACAAAACTAATGCACTGCGTCCTCAGTGGCTCTGATGTCGTGAGAAAATGAAGACTCTTATATTCACTTTTACATCCAGCTACAAATCACCTGCATTGCTTACGAGACATTGTTGTCACTACAGCTGCTCGAGCGCGGAGAAAATAGCGGACTACTGGCTGAGGGCGGAGATATGCTAATACAGGACAGTCCATCAGCGGTCATAGGCAGGGCCAAGAATCAAAACGGCTTGATAATTGAGACTTTAGTTTTTTGGGGGGATTAAAAAAAAAGGAGTGAATGGATTTTTATCATTGTAGGGTGGTTGTGTTCACACACTGCTAAGACAGATTTATATGCAAACACCATGTAAAAGTGAATTTTGCATCCAATGCCCCCTTTAATGGTAAATTAATATTGTGATAAATGTCAATATCATAAGATATGTAAATAAATAATATTTTGGCCATGTCGTCCAGCCCTATTAGGCAATATCTGCCCCTGTCGCTCATGTTGTTATTATTTTAATTACAGTTTTCGGAAAGTGAGACCCTTGAGTTACAAACTCTTCATATTCTCAAAACTGATGCTGCAGTTGAGAGAATTGGTAAATGTTCCGCCATGCTATATTTATTTTCGGACCTGAATTGTTTGTTTTGTTTTTTTCCTCGACGCCTATGAGATTACGATGACATTCTGAGATATGTGGTTACGTAGAAATGAAGTTGTAGACTTAACATAGGTTTGCGTACTTAAAATAAAGCTTAGTTAAAGCATGAAATAGCATCGTTCGGGCAGCCTGTAACAGGCCATGTGAGCTGCTATTATTCATCTGCAGTGCAAACGTGTATGCATGACACTCGTGTTTTAGCATCTGTCCTGTGTTCACCGTCACCACCCCCAAAACATCTCACGTTCTAGATTCACAGCATGCCTTCCATATGAACCACTTCTCCCTGTGAGTTTTGATGGGGCTAAATGCATGCCGGACATCTGTAACTTCCACTGACTATTTCAGGCCTTGCTAGAGTAACATTGAAGCTTGTTATTTTTTCTCATCTAGTCACAGCAAGATTTATAAATAGACCTGGCCTTATGAATCACATGGCATTGTTTTCAAATGTCAACAGAGTGGGATAAGCACAAACTCTAAAGATGAGTGTTAGAAGTGTTACAGAAGTTTTAGGGGTTAAAATATCATATCACTTCTTTAGCTAACCTGCAGCCACGGCCAAAAAAAAATATATAATTCTTTCAGAAGGAAACATGCTTTCCACTCTACAGTTTGCACAAAGCAATCGTCTTCTAAGCAGAAAGAGTGGCCCTTGTTTTATTGAATAAATGTGTGTGCATTAATAATTTAGTCAGATTGTACAGTATTTAATTTTGACTTACTGTATAATTGTGACCATCAATGCTGAAATCCAGGGAATGTTTTAAAATAAGATAGTTTTTTGTAACTGTAATTAGGGCCCTGTGTTTTATTTTTTTCCCAAATTCCATTTTATGTTTTTCTCAAATTCTTCATTAATTTCTGGATTCTGTTTTAATGGTTTAATTAAAATATATTAATATTTTTAATCCATTTTTAATAATTTATTAAAATTTTATCATTACATTTTTACGATAAAAGAAATTTATTTTTTACAATAAAAGAGCCCTATGAAATTATTTTTTCATGATTTCTATGTTGTCTCTTAATTTTTTCTGGATTTATAACTTAAAACAAATTTATTATCAAAAATGGTGGTAATCAAATGAAGGCATTAAAACATGTAAATAATGCAATGTAATTAATATTTGATGTAAATGTAATGAATGTAATGAAATAAAAATGTAAAATTAAAACATGGAATACAATTTGTGTGATACTCCTTAAAAAATAAAATTTTTATAAATTTATTTTTTATAAATAGAAGTGCAATGGTATATATTTCTGTTATAATTTCTTAAAACTTTTATTTTGGGGGGCTGTAGTGAAGACCTTTGAGTTTCTGCGTGTATATGACAGTAGTTTTCTCAAATGAAATGGTGAAATGGTGAAAGTGACTCTCAGAGCAGCTCTGGAGATGAAGTTCATGTATACATGTTCTAATATAGTGAGACAGCAGACACTGAAAACATCACGAGCAGTACGCATGGTTGAGTATGTGTAGTAGATGAAACTCTGCCACTCATTCATTTAGACATGCAGAACATGCAGACTTTATTTTTAAATAGTATTCTTTTTACACTAGAGTAGAGTCCTACTTTTAATTTATGCATTCAAAATTCGCCAAATTCCGTGACATTCCGCGTTATACAGTAAATTCCATTTTTATGACTGGGTTCCATGATTCTGTCCACGTTTTCTGCATTGCAGAAATTAGCTTTCAGTTAATCAGAGAGATATATATCTGATTTAAAATGACCTCTAATCTTCCTAATCGCTCATTCATGATATCCTTCCATAGGTTTTATTCCCTGTCAGGTGGTCTTAAATTGTTAACAAGTACTTGTGCGTCAATCTTCTTTTTCTGTGTTAACATATCCTATCATTATATCTTCTGCCATGGCATCCTCATCAAGTCAAGTCAAGTCACCTTTATTTATGAAGCACTTTATACAATACAGATTGTGTCAAAGCAGCTTTAACAGGAGTGTTAAACAGGAAAACGTGTGCTAATAATGCAAGAGGAGAATAGAAAACAGCCAGTTTATCAGTTAAAGTCAGTTCCTTGTTGATTCAGTGATGTAATCATCCAGCTCTGTTCAGTTCTCTTCCAGTAGTGTCTGTGCAGCCAAGTCAACAGTGTTGTCAGAAATTGTGCATAATATCTCATACCTCATGCATAATATCTGTCAGTGCACAATGTTTGTCTTGGGTTACGTGTGAACAAAATGTAATTTGTCTTGACACTGTAGTGATTTATAAATATATACTTTTAAATATATATAAAATAAATATGTAATTTTTGGCTCACTTAGTGCCCTAGTCTGTGTGGGTGTCACAGATCAGTTGCTTCTGCCTAAATGATACGTCTTTGAAAGCAGCTAGAATATAGGAAAATGTATCACCTAATTCTGCATAATATGAAAGGCTGGGCTGAGCAGAAGCCTACAGATCAGCCCGGGTGTGCAGCACAAGTCTTCTTAGGGCTGCTGATGTAGCTCTGTAAAGCTTGTTAAACAGAGCTCTTCCTGAATTAGCTCTTAGCATCATCGCAGTCTTCATTCATGAGCTTGCGTTGCCTGGCTGACATCACTGAGGACGCATCACGGAACTAAAAATGAGCTTCAGCACAGAGGCATGATGGGATTATTCAGCCCTTCCCACACGTGTGCATCTCTCTGAGCTTCTTTATTCATCATACCACATGTACTGTCCAAACGTTTGATCTTCTCTATTATATTAGTGTTCCTTTGTGTGCATGATTGAATTTATATTCCATGCACCATCTTCACTGTTCATACCTTTTGACTTTTGACTCTCTTTACCCAAACTAGTGTTGGCCTGAATTTGAAACTTGAATTTGAATTTGTACAGAATAATTATTGAACTTGCCAGAATGTACAGAATGGCATTAAACACTCAGAAGAGCAGTGACTATATTTGACTGCAGTGTGTACGTGTCCAATGCCAAAATAATATTTACAATTCAGTTTTTGGTACCAGCTGAATTATCAGCAGTAAGTAGGTCTTGACTAGGGCTTTGGACCTTAAAAACAATTTATTAAGGGCTTGAATGCACAACAAGCAAAAATTACACATTATTATTAATCACTATTGAAACAACAATTTAAAGCATAACCTGGTATAGATTGAGTCTTGAGTCATAATGTGCAATTCAGATGATATCTTTGTTGAATTCATAGCATACAGAAGATCTCAGAGGTTGACAGGTAAATGTTGATGTTGCAGGTGTGGTGCTGGTGTGTTTTGAGGGTGACTCTGATGGCTACATCAATCTGGTGGCATATCCATATGAGGAGAGCGAGGGGCTGGACCACGAAGAGCTGTCCGAAAGAGATCAGCCACGCCGAAAACACTCTCGCCGTAGCCTCCACCGCTCCAGCAGCGAGCACAAAGAGGACCGACCTGCTCACGACGGCGACAGCAACGACAAGTGAGAGAACGCAACAGAATTAACACAATCCATTGCTGAGAGAGTCATTCTGTATGAAAGCAAACTGTACTTTGGACTGAGGATCTTCAGATGAACAAGTGTTGTCTGATATTAAAACACAGTTACCAACCTTAGCAAAGAACAGTGTTATTTTACTATCAATTTACTATTATAGTTTTTTATTAATATTTTGAATCAGTTTTTTTTTTTTTTCATTGAAGTTTCAGCATTTTTTTATTTTTTATTTTAGTTTGTATGATTTATTTGTATATTTTATTTCAAGTAACTTTTTTATGGTTGTAATTTTAGTTTCAGTTTTATTTTTAGTTAATTATAATAACCCTGGTTGCGAAGGTCAAGATCTCGGAGGTGGAACAGAGCTGCTGAAATTGAACATATTGCATTGAAAATGTGATCTCTGTGATAATAACAAAAACAGTGCTTCCTAGCAAGTACTTCTGTCTGAATCAAACTTGTGTATTTGCCAAGCAAACATTCCCATATAAATTGTTCATTTTAAGAGTTTGACAATCACAAAACTTTTTCAGCAGTCACACTTGCACAGCATTGTTGGTGATTAGTGTGTCTGTGTAGTCTGCAGGAGTTGAAGAGTCCTCGCCTGGACCTACAGATGCATTCGGATGTGCCCTTCCAGATGCTAGACAGCAACAGCGGCCTGAGCTCAGAGAAGATCAGCCACAACCCCTGGAGTCTGCGCTGCCACAAACAACAGCTCAGCCGCATGCGCTCCGACTCCAAAGACAGGAAACTCTACAGTATCCTGCTCTGAAACAGCAGTTTATTCAGAAAGCTCGGTTTGGAAAAAAAGTGTGTAGTTGATGGACAAGTTCACAATTTTACTTTCTTGACAAATAGTCAACTATATTAAATAGCTTGAAACTGCTTGAAATTGTAATTGCAATAATATGCTATTTGACTGAGTAAATTACTTTTTAAGATAAAATAATTTAGAGAAGGTCTAATTACTTTTGCCTATGGCATAAAATAGGAGAGGTTCCCTTCAAAACGAAGTGACTTGAAATTGAAAAACACAAGTTATGGTTGAAACGAGGACCAAATCCTAAAAGTCATTCAGTCGCTCCATGCATCAACACTAGAAATCATGCATGATGTAAATCTTTTTGCAATTAGCAGCCGCTGTTCTGTCATCAGGGCAACATTTTCCAAAAAGCCACTGAGCATTAAAATAATGAAACATAGATTTGTGGGTTGTTTCTCAGAAGCATTATAATTTGATAAGCTTTAATAATCGTTGCAGATCTGCAGGCACTCTGTAGCTTTTGTGCATCTTAAGTAGACAGACTCATGGAGGACACCAGCTGGAGATCTGCAAAATCACACTTGAACTTTACTTTTAGGATGCTCACACTTTATGTAGCTCGGCGCTAATGAAAGAATACTTTAGATTCTATTATATTATGTTTAATACATTATTTAATTAATAATTCCCATTAAAGTACAAATAAAGTATGTTTTAAAATAATAAATCAAAACTGAACAACTCTATGCAGTGTAATTCACCACAGCTGTAAAGTGCTGCAAAAGCTAAAAAAAAAAAATACTGTAAAATATTGAAAAGTGCTTAAATTTGACTTCAAGGAAGGTGTACGAGACTGTATAGTGATAGGTGTACAACAGTACAGCCGGTACTGTGGAAAGACTGCTATTATTACCCTTTTTTTGTCTTGTAAAGGCAAATGTTATCCCAAAAACTTGAGGCAAGCAAGAGTAATTTTCATGCCATGCACAAGCATTCCCGAAGTAATTTGGCATCAGAGAAAATGAGGAAAGTAGAAGCCTTTCTGTCAGAAGAGTGATGATTTTTGCCACGACCCATTGCATTTCCACAAGCTGAGCAACAGGAAGCAGATGTTCACGTCTTTAGGACTCTCATTTGAAATTCTCCAAAATCTTCATTATTCATAAATGATTTAGTCACTAGAGAGAGAACTGTTTGTTTCTAAGAGAGGTTTTGACTAGAAATGATTGGCAGGCAGATTGTGATAATATTGCCAAGCTTGTCAAAGTGAATGGGCTCATGGGAATCTATGAGATTATCAGGAATACCACACTCCAGACTAATCCTTGTCTGTAGTTTAATTTACAGATGTTTTTTAAATGTATTAAATAATGGATAATTAAATCTACAGCTAGCAGCTCTCTACAAATAATGAAGCTTAAAAACAGCACTGTTACCACTGCACTTCAAAGAAATATAATGAAGCATTTCAGTAGCAAAGCTGTTTTAGTGATAGAAGTCGCAGGGCAGCGCAGAAAATCAAGTTTGTGTGCTCCTAAATGTTTCTGTGTGTGTGAGTGATTGTGTATTAATTAAGAATAGTTATTAAACTGACTGGAACTACTCTGCTTTAAATGGTTTTAACACATGCATTCCAGGCAATCAGAATCGAGTATTCAGAAAGACATTGTTATAAATATATGTATATATATAAACTTTGTGCATTTTTGTTGCACTCTGTTGTCTATGATTCTTGACCCTAAACCTCCACCAGAGTTTCTGCTGCTGGAGAATGTAGTCCATCATTTCGTCTACCCCTGCATCCTGGACTTGAAGATGGGCACCCGGCAGCACGGTGACGACGCGTCAGAGGAGAAAGCCGCCCGCCAGATGAAGAAGTGCGAGCAGAGCACGTCTGCCACATTAGGGGTGCGTGTGTGCGGCATGCAGGTGCGTATGGCTCTGGCTCTACACACGCTTAGCGGAGCACTCTTACAATTAAAGGTTCTTCATTGGCATCCATAGTTTCAAGAAGAACCTTTACCGCCCATAGAACCTTTCCATTGTATTGTACAAAAAGGCTCTTTTTAGTGGAAAAAGGTTATTCAAATTTAAAATGTTCTTCACATTTAGAAAAAAATGTTTATTTTAAGAACTGTTCACTGAAAGCTTCTGTGGAGAGCCCAGAATGGTTATTTTATGGCCAGTGTAGTTAACCTTGGCCTCATGTAGGTGGCCCAAGTTGGAAACTGAAGATGGGACAGGAATCCCTGACACTGGCAGGAAAACTAATTTCAGAGTAGTCATTTGTATAAAAATTAAGTGAGTTTATGCTTAAAACAAGAAAAAAAATCTGCCAATTGGGTAAGAAAAATAGACTTGTTTTCCCTTTGGATTAAGTTTTTTTTTTTTTTTTTTTAACACCATTGGCAGATATTTGCTCACATAATAATCAACAATTGTGTGTTATGTTCCCTATTAGATTTCTAGGGGCAAAAGGGAAGTAACGTTTTAAAGTAAAGTTTACTGTAGCAGCAGCAAAGAGAAAGGTTTGAACTGTTCTCAGTCCCAGCACTCAAGTACACAAAGTAAGACTTACATTTATTTACAATAAAAAAATTATGACATATTTACACATAATTTGACAATTTATGTGGACAATAAACATAACATTTCTCAAGAGCGATTTTTGAAGGGGACACAAATAATACAGCTAAAATTGTACTTATAAAGGATATGTGTTACGAATGAACACAAGTAGGCAACAGGCAGCGGGTCCAAATGCAGTTCAAGATCCTTTAATGATAATCCACAGAAATAAGCATCCAAAATTCATGATGGAACCACAAGGAGGTAACACTTATCAACAACTCACACCGACAATAGCAGACCAGGGCTTAATATACACAAACACAGGACCAAACAGGAAATGGAACACAGCTGAACCAGGTAGACACTAATGAAAACACAGCATGATGGGAAATGGAGTCCATGACCAGAACAGGCAGGAACACAAAACAGGAACGCCCTCTAAAGCCTCACAGTGGTGAGGACCAAACAGGAAATGGAACACAGCTGAACCAGGTAGACACTAATGAAAACACAGCATGATGGGAAATGGAGTCCATGGCAGGAAGACAAAACAGGAACGCCCTATAAAGCCTCACAGTGGTGCAGGCAACCGGGCGTGACAATATGTATACACAGAGGAAAGCCTTACTACTATTAGTGCAGCAGGGAGACCGTGCCAAATTAGACAACTTCAAGCTGTTGTGGTCACGCCGTGACACAGCGCTCGTGTCCGTTGTATCCGTCACAGTGTTGCCAAGTCCGCGGTTTTCCTTTGGAATTGGGCTACTTTATCACTGTTGCCGCGGGTTGTTTTTCATGTCCGCGGGTTGAAGCGACCCCAATAACGTGTATTTTAGCCCCCAGAACGTGATTTTTACCGGGGGACCCCTCGATTTGTTTGGGCTACTTTTGGGTAGCAATTGGGAGGGTTTTGTTTAGGGCTGAACGATTTTGGAAAATAATCTAATTGCGGTTTTTTTTTACCAATATTGCGATTGCGATTTAATATGCAATTATTTTTTAAAGCTCTTTATGTTCTGTATTATTCAACAAAGATAAGCTATAAATCATTGTATAGTATGACCAACACAATATTATATAGATTAAACATAAATGTTCTTTTCTGTAGGCCAGGCCTATATGTTACGATGAAATTAGGTGATGCATGAATTGATATGAATGACATTTTTATTGAACAACTACAATCACAGTATATTGACTGATTTGTTGAACTTCCAACCTAATAATTATGTTTAAATAAGCCTGGTGTAAACATTAATATGAAAGTCAGTAACAAATCACACAAACTAAAGTAGAAATATAAAAACAAATCTGTTGCGTTACCACACTACTTTAGGTAATTCAAAGTCACTGTAATAAACATATGTAAACATGTGCACTGCACTTTTTAAACACTGTCTGTTAACTTTAACTTTTACTTTTTTGGTCGCGCCCCCCTTTAAACCTATAAAAAAAAAATCTTACTTAATTAAAAAAACCTACAGGGAAAAAAACACCTGCATCACTTGAAACATTGAAAAATAGCATAGAGAGAATAACATTATTATTATTATTATTCTCTCTCTGTTATTTATGTATTTTTTGTGGGTTTCATGCTGTCCGCAAAGGCATAGGACACACACAGGCTTTCCTCCTCACCAACGACATTAAACACCGTGTCTACACCGGACGCGAGCGGCAAAATACAGTAGAACCGTTATAATCAGTGACGCTGTGTACACTGGATGCAGCGCGGCGCGACAAAACCCAACATTAAACTGATGCCTTGTTCTATTTATGACATACTGACACAAAGTTAAAATGATTTGCAACGGTCGCTTTGTCACGTCCAGTGTAGAGCTGTTGCGGCGCGACGCGACAACTGTAGCGTCCGGTATAGACACGGTGAGTGAAGCCGAGAGCAAGATATGCCGCGTCATATTTTCTGCATTTAGCTTTTAAATGACCAGCACCTGCCTGGGTCTGTGCGACTTCATCTATGGCTTTTCTCGTCGCTTTCACAAACCGATCCATCTCCCATTCTAATTACGTCCTTTGGCTAGGGCTGAATGATTTTGGAAAATAATCTAATTGCGATTTTTTTTTTTTACCAATATTGCGATTGCGATTTAATATGCAATTATTTTTTTTAAGCTCTTTATGTTCTGTATTATTCAACAAAGATAAGCTATAAATCATTGTATAGTATGACCAACACACAGATAGATTAAACATAAATGTTCTTTTCTGTAGGCCAGGCCTATATGTTACAATGAAATTAGGTGATGCCTGAATTGATATGAATGACATTTTTATTTAACAACTACAATCACACTATATTGACTGATTTGTTGAACTTCCAACCTTGTAAGCATGTAATAATTATGACAACATAAAGCACTGACAAATAAGCCTGGTGTAAACATTAATATGAAAGTCAGTAACAAATCACACAAACTAAAGTAGATTGCAGAAGCAGAAATATAAAAACAAATCTGTTGCATTACCACACTACTTTAGGTAATTCAAAGTCAATGTAATAAACATATGTAAACATGTGCACTGCACTTTTTAAACACTGTCTGTTAACTTTAACTTTTACTTTTTTGGTCGCGCCCCCCTTTAAACCTATAAAAAAATCTTATTTAATTTAAAAAACCTACAGGGAAAAAACACATGCATCACTTGAAACATTGAAAATAGCATAGAGAGAATAACTGTTATTATTATTATT